TACACATATAGTTTTATACATATATCACCATGCGACATACTCAAAATCGAACCTTGCATACATGCTAATACCTCTCAGATGTATATAGCATGCTGTCATCAGGTTGTACTGCTGATTTTGATTTAACAGTGACTAGTAGCAATATCATACTAAAAGCCAGCCTACTTCTGTAACATACCAGTCTGGCAACCTGCATGAACTCTTTCAGATTGACAACATCTTGCTGGACTTCGCGCGTTAAGGATTTCGCTGACAGAGTATCTGAAAGAGGACTACGAGCCATTTTGCTCGCGTGAGCGTTTCTGTATTAGTGTCGCCGTAATAATATAATATACAATAACAAACATCCTTATCACATACTGGCAAAAGACTTTACCTCGACTGTATTTGCTACCAGACTACAAGGGGCGATTGCTCGCTTCTCGACCAAAGTCGCAAAACAATTAGCATAACATTGTGTCCGAAAACAGAATAGAGGCTGAAAAGATAAGTAGTGCAATCTGTACCCTAAAACAATAGTAGGGAAGAAATACAAACTCCATTTAGATACCTTTATCGTCAGGCAAGCAAATACTTACCCGCTGAAGCTTGTTGACGCCAACTCATTCGGCATCAAAGTTGAGTACTGCACTTGGTGTGCCTGTTCAAGAGGTGGACGCTGATTTTGATGGGCATTTTGATCCGATGACTGTGATTGTTGATGATTGTGACTCGATTGCTGCTGCTGCTGCTGTTGCTGTATGCTGTGTTGTGAATACTGCTGGTGGTTGTACTGCGTGTTCTGCTGTTGATGTGCGTGATGTTGCTCATGGTAAGCGAGTTGTCCGTTTTGTAGCCCCTCTCCGTTTGGAGGGTAAGCTCCAGATGAATAGGAGGAGCCAGACATCGTGCTGGATGGAACCTCCATCACGTTGTACCGGTCATATACCACATCGAGGTATTTTATACTCTAGTTTGTCAGTACTGTTCTGATGCATTTATCCAAAATATGTGTTGTCACTGTTGTGGCGTCATTAAATATTTAGGGTTTGGCTGATCTACAATAAAAGCTCCCCATATGCCAGGAGGCCCAGGACCCAAGGTCTCTGTTTGTTGTTTTAGTTTTTTGGTTTTCTGTTTTTTCTGTTTTTGTTTTTCTTTCTTTTTTTGTTGCTAATTTTTTGTAAGAAATGTAAGGCGCCCCAGCCCAGGAGTTTCGAACTATCCTCAAATCCATGCACCAGCAGGATGGACTTGATAAAAAGTGACGACACACTATAATACTGAACCTAAATAATGTCAAGTATCATCGGTCAGCTATATATACACGACACAGTACCTTAGGCCCCTCTCGTTTCATGGGAGTTACCTATATGATACTGACAATTTATTAGAAAAAGAAGAATAGTTTTGTAGTTCTATATTTAGCTTCCGCTTCTTACATTGTACAGTAACAGGCCAATCCTGCCTGAAACCATAATCCCATCTTACATTCCGTCATAATCTATTTTGTGCACACCTACACTATTCGGAAATCAGCATCTCTTCTTACATCTTGCTTTATTAGTGTACTTCGCACTGATTAAGTAGTATCGATCCAGTGTATAATAATCCGATATCTCACTTATCCCGTTAGCTTATTCAGCAACGATGCCCACAGTCATTTCCGTCCCGATCTCGGTCCAAGGGATGAAGCAGTTCGCCGGCCTCAAAGGCCAACTACTTCATCCTACACTCTAGGCTTTGGCGGTGCGCGTGACCACGCGTGATTGCACTTGCATCGAGCCAGACCAAGAAAAAGCAGTACACGGACAGATTTGTCGAATGTTCTTCGGATCTGCCCTTTGGGCCGCAGCTGGTCGCGCCTCCAGCTGGTACACCATACTGCTAGCGTCTTATGCGAATCGCAGGCAAATATTCTTCACTGTATCGGTTTTTGCATCAGACAAACTCACAGACAACTAGGCGCGATTTCATCCGTGAGTGTCGCAAATGCACAGCCTATTGTGCGGACATGTTTACTGAATATATCTCGCTACTGTCCATCCAGGTGCATACTGATGCTTTCTTAAAATGGTCCGTGAGTGTCGCAAATTAGGTTTCATCCGTGAGGGTCACAAATATACAGCCTATTGTGCTGACATATTTACTGAATATATCTCGCTACTGTCCATCCAGGTGCATACTGATGCTTTCTTAAACTGGCAGGCATAAGCTTACGGGTGAGCAAGCGTGTGAAGTCCACGCAACTAGGACATATGAAAGCCGACAAACTGCAGAAGGCACAACAAGAACTTGCTGGTGTGGCAGCCCTCGTGTCCGCGCACCGGTGGAACTGTACGCAACTGCGACAATATTTTGTTTATAACCCCGAAGAGGAGTCTCAGGTTGTGAAAATGCTGCATTTTTTAGGCCACAGGGGTGGTAGTCTTGTCATGAAATTGCTTGCCCTCGTCACTGACCCGGGCGCTTGCAAGCTTGTGTACCTCACGTCCGTGCACCCCAAAATTGGTGAACTGGTCCTTGAAGGCCTCCAGCACACCGCGGACGAAGTGCGCTACTTTATTCGTGAGGTCTTTTGTGATACTCTGTATGTGCCATCTATGGCTGCCATTTATGAAATTAATGGACTCCCGGAAGTTCTGGATTGGGTCCACCCGATGACTACTACAGCAGGATCCAAGTGCTCTCTTGAAGTCGTGCCTCTCCCGTCAACGGGTGAGGCCCGCCAGCAACCCGAAAACTGTCGTCTCGATAACCGCATCAATGCCTTTGAGCCAACGTGAGCTACACAACGCCAAACTGCGTACACCCAGCGCACCCAGCGCAAGAAAGACGCCGATCACCGCCAGAGTGACCGCGACCGTGATCGTAACAGGGCACCTGAACCTCACAAGCGTTCACAACGTTCCCCTAAACCCAGGGATTTTAAACATTTGTCGGTAACGCCAGCTCCGACTCCAGTATCAGCTTTGACAGCGACACTAATAGAGAAGACCGTCAAGAAAGAGGAGTATACAACATGTTACATGTTTTAATTGTTGTAAACAATGTTATATCGTCAATGATTACCCGAAACCGAGAAAGACGCCGACGGCAGCCTCACCACCAGCAAGCCAGAAACCCAGCAAGTCTGGCTTCTAATATGGACCAATGGTTCAAGGTAAAGTAAAAGATTGTGAGATCCTAGTGTACATGGATGTTGGTTCGGCATTCAACTATATGGTAAATAAACTTAAGATCAATCAATTGTACACCTTACATTTTTTCCCATCGATTAATGGTATCGAGGCCTTAGGCACCAGTACCTCTACATCGCAAGTACAACTAGCCGCCAACGTTGGCACTGTTGATGGCTTTATTTCTACCGAGGATCCAACATGGTGAGTTGTTGACACTTTACCCTACCAGACACACCTGCTCATCGGGTTCGACACAAGTTTCCTAAGATGGTCAGGAGCCTTTGATATGGAGGGACAACTGCTCAGTGTCATCCATGGACCCATGGCTGTAGACTTCGATGGATATTTCTATGTTTTAAACTAGGTTATATAAACTAAGATACAATGTAATTCAGTTAGGATTTAGCAGTGGTAGCTTGTGCACGAATGATCGGGACTGCCTCTTGGTAAGAGCCTTAATATCCTCGATCACACAGAACGTACCTCTAGTTTTCACTAGAAGTACTAAGTGTTCATGACCACATGTCTGATTTGTAGATAGACATAAGAACGTAAGCCAAGTTAATACATTAGCTAATATAAATAAAGTTCCATCTGAAGAAAAGTTATTAAAAAAAGAGAAAGACTTATTGGATTTTGGAGATTGGCGGGAAGACCAAAATCTGTAAGTAGTAGTTCAGAGATTACAAAATTTAGTTTATAATATCCTACATCTACTATCGTCTCAAATAGGTCCAAGTAAATGAGTCATACCAAATACTCATACTATTGGAGCCGTCAAAGCGAATTTAGAACACTTTGGAAATATTGGAGAGAAAAAAACTTGTATTTATTTATTTTAAATACAAATAAAAACCAATGTGTTATCTCATTTGATCTTTATATTTTAGACTGACCGGAGGCCGTATTTCTACATAGCCCCCAGTAGCTTTTAGGACTACGGACGTACGTGAAGGTACGATCTAGTTCGTAAAGCGAAAACCAAAGTAAAACGGTTTCGGTCATGGCTTATCGAGTAAGTATGTTCCTATATGTACGAGTCCAAGACTCATGTTGTGCTCTATGTCGTTTAGTATTTGGTCCAGTAACCATTTCCGATGTAGGCGCCTTATGTTTATTACTTGGTAAGGTAATAGCCAAAATTTGTTCTTCATTAGTAAGTAAGCTCGAAGAATTGTCTGCCCTGTTGGTAAGCAGATCGGAAAGTTTAGTCACATAGGAAGTAGACGGCAAATAGGGAATTTCATATCCATCCGGGTTTGTAGTCACCTGAGGAAACCCTTTCCGTTTATCTCGTGTGTTCTTATGTAAACGCTTATTTCATTTCTTATTAAAAATACGACGGAAGTCGCGAGATTCACGAAACGCATCGGAGGTTAGCCAAGCTACTGTCCCATCCATAAAACGGGTCTTGTAGTAAGTGTAACCGTCTTCGGATGTTTTTGTCAATTATATCTTTGACTTGTGACTCCATAACCGGGACATCAGAATCAAATTAGCGAGCGAATGAGAGTTCAGAGGTAGGGATACGGTGAGTGCCTTGATTAGTTGCGCTAGTACCATCTACGTTATTCACTTCGTAAGTATCACTCTTCTCATCATGGTAGGAAATAACAAAAGGTACAGTTGTCTTAGAAGAGAGTTCGGTAACGTTGGCATTGCGATTTATAATATTAATATAATGGCCAACTTTGAACTGAACAATGTTCTTAGTGTTATTCCATCGGTCATACGCTTTAAGTAGGACACGATTTTTGTGCTCGAGTAAACAGGGGTAAACAACGTTCTGCATATGCTCGATCTTTTGTAGCCACGGAGTAGCGTGTTTTTCAGGCGCAGTTTTGTCAAACGTTGCTTGTAATTCACTATAGCGGCCAAAGAAATAGTGAAACGGGAGTGTTCTAGTTTGAGGATTCATGCAGCTATTCACTTGAGTCTGAACCCATTTCAAATAATAAGGCCACATATCCTCAACGTTATCTAGTGCGGTACGCAATAGCTTCTTTAGTTCTCTATGACGTGTCTCATTTGCACCCTGTGTTTAAGGTTTATAAGGAACACCACACCTATGGGTCATGCCTGATACGACTATAAGTGCCTCCATTACGTCGGTACAAAACTCACTACCGTTATCAGAACATAGTACTCGGGGGAAACCGAAATCATTAAAGACGTGATAGCATAACTCTGCCACTGTTTGCGGGCGTTTGTTCGGTATTGCGTAAGGCAAGTTATAGCCCGAAGCCACACATAAGAAATCAGTATGCTTGGATCGCGGGAGTTTAATCAAATCATATATGACTCGGCGCATCGATTGATCTTCTGTCACACTTTTTAGGGGTGCCCAACCCCCAGTAAAATACCAAACATAAGATTTGGTCTAGTTCTATTAATAGAACTATAGTTACTTTCCAAATCTATTTGTATCTGAATACTTCGGTAGCGAGATGGCTCAACCGAACATGGGTGTCTAAAGACTATTAGCGTTGCTTAGTTTATCCTCCATTCAGCCAACCAGATGTGCCAGTCTGATGGAGGCTAAGTCGGTAATTCTTGATAAGTGGTACGTTATTGGTTTATGCAATAACTATGGACAACAGGAGTTTTTTTCTTTTTTTTTCTTTTCTTTTTTTTAAATAGGATTTTATGAGTCTCTCGGATTCGCCCCAACGAAACATACCATAGTTTCTATTAGAGCGACAACGAAACACTAAATAAAATCCCTTCGGCAAAAACAATACTGAGAGGATTATATATAGGCAATGTCTCAGCCTCGCAATCCCTCAGAGTATTGCTGTTTTCTCGAGGCATACCTAACTTTACTACAAGACTCATTTCGTTCATTTATTTGGAATTTAACTATACTTAGACTTAACCTAAGCGTTTAATTACTCTAAGGCGTTAATATCGCCTTGATAGACCGAAACTTACACATTTTAAAGTTAGCAAAGTTATTAATTACTTAGACTACTTAAACGTAAAGGTAGATAACTACCACGAAATTTTTCTTAAGCACAGTCATTCCTTAGGAGAATAAGACTGAAGTCATAAGTTAAGATTCTAAAACAAACCCTAAAACCATTAAGATGGAAATCGCCCATGACGAGCACCGTGCTGATGACGCATCATATTATGCTAATATGATCGCGATCTAGCAGAAGCGCATCAATCATCTACTTCAGGCCCAACGTGGGCAAGACCACCGGGATAACCAGAAGTACAAGGGACGGATCAGTCGACTGAAGTTGAACTGGGATGCCAACAGCAAGCAGGTCGAGTTTAGAAACAACCATGACCTCGACACGCTACCCCGTACGCTTAATGCGTTCACGGTCATGCTGGAGACGAATGATATCGCTCCCCAGCAATGGATTTCTGCTTTAATGCAATCGTTTGACCCTACAGGAACAAGTTACTTGATCCTGCAGCGACACCAGCATGAGCTAGACACTTGTCGTGACTGGCCAGCTGTGTGTTGGTTGGTTACGTCCTTATTAAGCAAGGACATGCGAAG